GAGATGTTTTGTAACATCAGGCAGTATCTTCCTTACCATGCTCCTCCTATTATTAATAAAGGCCTGAAGCAAAAGCAAAGGTAGTGGCATAAAGAATGGAGAAGAGGAAGCAAATACAAGGAATGGTATGGAGATAGAATCCAAAATGCTTTGTCATTTATAGACTGAGAGAAGGAAATTGTGCTGCTCTTGTTACATTTTATCTTTTTATTCCTTTCATGAAATCATTTATTAATTTAAACAGATTTCTCCCATAACAACAAAAAAGCTTTTTTTATATTCTATATATCTCTTCCCACCACCCCCTAAAAGATTGGGTCCTTTAAGTTAATACTTTGTAATATCTGAATCCATAAAATACTTGTTTAGACTAATTTCCTCCAATACTAAATTTCATAGAAAATCAAAAGGAGAGGGCGCCTGGGTGGCTCAGTTGGTTAAGCGACTGCCTTCGGCTCAGGTCGTGATCCTGGAGTCCCAGGATCGAGTCCCACATCAGGCTTCCTGCTTGGCAGGGAGTCTGCTTCTTCCTCTGACCCTCCTCCCTCTCATGCTTTCTGTTTCTCATTCTCTCTATCAAATAAATAAATAAAATCTTAAAAAAAAAAAAAGAAAATCAAAAGGAGACATATTCTACTTCTATTGTTTTTCTCAGTATTGCTAGAAATATGTTAACTGCAGGAGTCTTGACACATGTACATATGCTATATAGTATTTTTCTACTGGTTAAATGTCTTAATATCTCAAGCATTAATGGGTAAACTGCTTATAAACATTGAGAAGTCCCCCCATTGACCTCCTAGCACTGACAATAACCAGATACAAGAGTAGACAGACCCAGCAAATCTTCATAACTATCTAATTAAATCTCAAGGGACTTTTTGTCTCACTGGTGAAACCCAGTCAGGAACTAGGCAAATGGAAAGAACTATCCCAGGCACTTTCAGGGAATATGCTTAGTGCCTTCCTGCTAGGAGCAATTACTGACCAACCTGCATGAGAAGAATGTAAAAGAGAGGGATACCTTGTTGCTTGAGTTTCTCTTGCCAGAATTCCCTACATTGAAGTAATTTAACAAGTAGGAACTGAGGACACATTCTAAAGGGGTAAAAGATCAATACAAGTATTCTGATGTTGGCAAGTGGGAAGACTATAAAAAGAAAATTCCTGGGCCAATGAACACACATTTATGAGATGCTTATTTCAGTACAAAATCCTGCATAAATTCTGTGGGAGCACAAAAATTGTTCATATATTTCATAGGTATTTGTGGAATGTCTATGATGTGTCGGACACATAGTATTATAAACAGAGAATAAATAAAGTAGAAATAGACAAAATTCCTGGCCTCAAGGAGATCACAGAGTCAGAAAGGAAGACAAGAAACCAACAAACAAAATGTACTGTGAAATGGCTGTCACAAGAGAGGGGCGTATAGAGTATACAACAGAAGCCCACACACAAAACCAACTGTAAAGATCAGAGGCTCCCAGGAACTTTTTGAAAGAAATCCATGTGTATTGGTTTCCTAGAGCTGCCATAACAAATTACCACAAAGTTGGTGGCTTAAAACAACAGAAATTTATTCTTTCACAGTTCTGGAGGCCAGAAGTCTAAAATCAAGGGGTTGGCAAGATCAAGCTCCACCTGAAGACTCTAGGGAAGAATTCTTCCTTGCCTTTTTCAGTTCCTGTTGGTTCCCATTCATCCCTAGCATTCCTTGCCTTATAGCTGATCGGGCCACCCTCTGCCTCCATTGTCACGTGAAATTTACCCCATTCTCCTCTGAGTCTCAGTGTCCTCTCCCTTTCTTATAAGGACACCAGTCCCTGGGTTAAAGCCTCACTCCAGTCCAGCATGATGTCATCTTAACGAATCACATCTGCAAAGACCCTATTTCCAAATAAGGTTACATTCTGAATTTTGAGGGGATACTATTCAACTCACTAACCCAGGCAAGAAATGACACAGGCCTGATCTAAGGTAATAAAAAGAAGAGGAAAACGTCCAAAACAATGCTTGGTTTTCTACCTGGAGTTACATGTTTGTGCCTACCCTGAGATGAGGCATTCCAAGCAGAGGGAGCTTTTCTTGGGGTGTTGGTATTACTAAGTTCTTAAGAATAATGACTACTATTTTTGAATATTTACCCTACCATGATTTCTAAAACTCACAATAACCCTGTGAAAATAGGTACAATTTTCAGGTTACACATAAGCACACTGAAGCTAGAAGGGTTAGGAAATTTCCCAGAATCACTGAATTTGGAAGAAGTGAAAGATGAAAGAGAAGGGATGGGGGCGCCTGGGTGGCGTTAAGCGTCTGCCTTCGGCTCAGGTCGTGATCCTGGGGTCCCGGGATCGAGTCCCACATCGGGCTCCCTGCTTGGCGGGAGGCCTGCTTCTCCCTTTCCCACTCCCCCTGCTTGTGTTCCTGCTCTCGCTGTCTCTCTCTGTCAAATAAATAAAATCTTTAGAAAAAAAAAGAAAGAGAAGGGATGGGTGGAGAATATGGAAGAGAGTCCACTGGAGTTGAAAGAGTTTTTATTTTCCTAGACCAGTATTTACACCAGGAAATGATCCTAGAGGAATTAAATCTAAGCACTGATAGGTAAGTTTCTTAAATTACTGACTTTGGGAAAATCCATACATTGCCACCAACATGATTTATATGGAAAGATTCACAAAGGAAATTAGACATTTCCTTCCCTCTATACTTTTGTACGTGTGTCTCTCTTATTGAGGAATCAAATAATCTTGTCCATCAAATAAAATTTGTAAAAACTAAGCTGTCAAAACTCAGCCATCCCTAAACTTGGCTTTCATCTACCAAACCAAGTGCTGTTTTGCCCTCCCTCCTCATCTCTTCACTGAGCTAACACCCATCCATCAACTCATAGCCTCTGGGAAGCTTCTTCTGACCCTTGTTAAAGAAAATTACTCAAAACACAGAAATAAGGCAAAAAATAATTATGTGACCTTTTAATGCCTTGCTAGACATGCTCCAATAAGCCCACTAGTGGGTCATCTCTTTTGGGGAATGTAACTTCGTTTCACTTAATATCACAATTGATTGGGGCACTGACCTTTTACAACTCAGTACAGTTAGAGCTTTAACTTCTAAAGAACATGATAAAGTGTGATTATTTTTTTCTGTCTAGCAGAGAAAACAACCCCCCAAAACACAGTCTTATAGCCTCATTGGACACTGATCAGCGTTGTTTCTAGTTTAGCAATCTTTATGAACATGCTTTTCCCTACTGATTTTTTTTTAAAGATTTTATTTATTTATTTATTTGACAGAAAGAGACATAGCGAGAGAGGGAACACAAGCAAGGGGAGTGGGAGAGGGAGAAGAAGGCTTCCCACAGAGCAGGGAGCCCGATGCGGGGCTCGATCCCAGGACACTGGGATCATGACCTGAGCCGAAGGGAGACACTTAACGACTGAGCCACCCAGATGCCCCATCCCTATTGATTTTTAAATTCTATTTCTCATGTTCTTTTTCAACCAGTATTGTCATTCTGTTAGTTTACTCCTCGATAAGGCAAATAAAACTTTGACACATGCTCATTATCTTTTTCTATGAAAATTATGCAAATAATTTGAAAATGGTTAACATATCCTAGGTAACAATTGACAGTCCCGTCCACCTTACACCAACTACTGTAGCAAGCACTAAGGTAATAGCTTGTTTGCCTTCTCTGCCAGACTAAGCAGTGACTTCTAGGAAATCAGTGAACATTTCTGTCTTAACGTCCCATCATTGTCTCCAGAATCCTGCAGAATGGTTGTCCCAGAGGATGAGCTCAACAAGTATTTCTGAAAGCATTTCTTAACTAAATGCCTTGGAACCCTTTCTCCCACTCTACTCCTTTGTCTGTCTTGATCTGAATCTCTTACGTCCTCTTTTTTTAACTGGATAATGGCCCTCTTCACTACCAGCAGCCTCTTTGAAAAGTATCAACTTATTATCTAATTAAATGATAGATTTTTCTCCCGGTTGCAGACATACAACAGGGTTTAGGCCTGGAATTCACATCATCTGCCTGGGCATCAGTAACCCTCAGAAATAAATTTTAATGAAAGTCACTACTGCCACTTTGGAAAAAATATCGGTTTTTATTAAAGATAGAAATTGATTATACAACTAGCATATTATAAGCAAAGTGCTGTTAAACAAATCTAAAAGGCACAGCAACATGTAAAAACATCTGAAATACATAATGTCAAGCAGAAGATGCTATATCCATACTTGTAAATCAATGTCTATCTGATCATGGAATGAACATCATTTTTCTGATCCAGCTCTTTGTTTAAAGACTATTCTGTTGGTGTGAAATTTGTGATAATAATGAAAGCCTTAGTAGGTATCAAATTAAACTCTGTCAGTCATCAATTTATTGACTCTGCTTTAAATTCATCCTATGTGCCTACTCTGTGAAAATGAATCTGGGACCCTTCAATATTTTTCCTCTGTAGCTGATAGGATGTTAAGTTTTCTCAGTAGAGGGCGCTGGAGAGACACTGCAAGAGGAAAGTCTTTTCCCCACTTCAAATTGTTAATTGGCAGGCTATTAGGGATCCAGTTTGTCCGCAGAGGAAGCTTCTCCCGGTACCCTGCTTCTGCAGCATGGGCAGCTTCTCCAACATTAAGCTCATGCAGCATGAGCTCAGCCCCCGGCACACAAGGCCTCCCCAGCACTCAGGGCCTGTAAGAGCATAATGGCCAGCTTCCCCCAGCAACGCCCGAGTACATTGTGTAATGGAATGTCACTGGTAAGACACTTCCTCTAAGCAGTTTCCTCCAGCAACCTAGAGGATGGATTTCCAGCAAGATATTTTTTAGAGTTCTCTTTATTTCTTACTAGCCAATCCCTCATTATTCTAATCCCCTATTTTAATTAACAATTCTTTATATTAAACTCTCCCTATTCAAACTGCCGTGTGCCTTCTCTCTCCTGATTGGACCCAGACTGCGACAAACTCCTAGAAGCAAAATAAAAATGAAGCATCTTTTTAATTTAAAGACATCTTATTGGGTACTTGATATAAACAGCAGCTTGCCATGACAAAAAAAAAAGTTTATTCAAACAACGAAATACCGTATTTTAAAAGACGGAAATATTTGGGATTTAGATGGCTAAGAAAAATGAAAGCATAGAGAGAGAGTTGTCTTATGTTTCCTTTTAATATAAACAGTTTACATCATCATGATCACATTTATTTACTTTGAGATGAGCAAGATATATACATTTTATTATCCTAGGATAATATGCCCTAGGCACTTAAAACTATCCCAAAGTTAAATTCAGGGGAGTCATAGACAACCAAATAACTTACAAGCTCTTGTTTTCCCTTCTTCAGCAATAAATTGTCTTTTTTTTTTTTTAAGATTTTATTTATTTATTTGACAGAGAGAGACAGAGCGAGAGAGGGAACACAAGCAGGGGGAATGGGAGAGGGAGAAGCACGCTTCCCGCAGAGCAGGGAGCCTGATCCGGGGCTCGATCCCAGGACCCTGGGATCATGACCTGAGCCGAAGGCAGATGCTTAACGACTGAGCCACCCGGGCACCCCAGCAATGAATTTTCAAATCCTTCCGTCATCTTTAAGGAAGCACCCATGATTTTATTCCTTAAATGCTATTACTTTAACCATACAATTATAAAATAAAGGGGGGAATAAAGAAAAAAGACACTATACTTTGTAATTCTTCATAATTCTAACAGAACCAACATTTTCTATAGGTACTTAGGCTAAATAAGCAACAATAAAAATGTCCCATATGGTCCAGTGGCCTCGTACCAATCGGATTTAGTCAAGTAATGATTACCTGCTTCGGAAGTACTTTCAATCAAAGTAGCTTCTCAAGAGAGTTTTGCCAGCATTTTGTAGTCAGATAGGCTGAGTTTAACCCCAGCCCCATTCCTTGCCCACTGGATAACTCCAGACAAAAGTTTTAACCTCTCCAAGTCCTAGGTTCTTCCCCTACAACATGAGGATAGCAATGCCTACACTGAAGGATGGTTGCGAGGATTAAATGAGATCATGTGTGTAGAGCCAGCGTCAGTTACAGCATCGTCACTACTCAGTAAGGAAAAGCAACTGCCATTGTCATTATTACAGCTGAGATCTCATCACCTGTCTAACCTTATTAATTTCATGACCTCTTTTTTAAACAAGTTTGTGTCAGAAGAAGATCCTATAATGTCAATGTGTGTCTCATAAAAATTTATCAGAACCTGAGGGAACCTCGAACTTAGCTGTTCACATGCCAACTTAATATTTCTTTTATTTCGACTCTCCTTTCCTTTCAAAGTAAGTGTCTCCTTTCTAAGCTCGAAGTGAAGAGCAAGTGAATATTCCTCAAAAAGTGCTTTTACAACCTTTGCATTGTTTGGCTGAGAACATTCTTGAGCATTTTTTATACAAATTGTGGTAACTGCACCATCCACTCTTTCCTCACAGAAAACATGACAGTTTTTCAATGTGCTTTCATAAAATCTGCTCTTTTTGAGGTAAAGGAAAATATCTGTGTCAAGAACAAGCGTTTCTCCTCTCTTGGTGGCCTCAGATACTGAGGACCCGAGTGACTCCAAAGAGCTACTTCTCTGGAGCTGCCTTCTGGAGTTCTGCCTATTCCATCTTTTCTCCTCACTGATAAAATTCCTGTTTTTTTCTAAAAGAGAACTTGCTTTTAATAGCAAAGATTCTTTGAGTTTCTGCATAGCCAGAAATGATCCTTGGATGGAGATTCTTCCATTGGGTTCCAAAGGACTGAAGCATAAAGTTGGGTTTTTCCTTTTCAGGTCCATTACCAGACTTTCTAGAGGGACTTGACTCCGAAAAACAGAAAGATCGAGAATAGCTTTTACAGAGCTGAAGACCTAAAATTAAACAGAGAGAAATTAAAACAGCACTGGCTAGTGGAGCAGACTACATAAACACATGCTTTTCCTGCGACGTTCTCTGTCTCCACATCAGTTACCCCAAACCAAGCCCCAACTGCCCAGCACAGACTGGTTTCTTGCACCATGGCAGCCCATCAAAGGGTCCCACAACCCCATAAAGACCACAATGTTCAATTTGGGTTCACAGTCCCTCATTGCATATCCCAAAACAGAGAGAGTCAAATATTTTTTAGAGACAGAATGTTATTTGAAACAAAGCCTTAAGCAAAACCCACACATTGTTATGATGTACAGATAACACTCTGTTCTGATTCTTCTCTGTGGACAGGGGTCCCCCTAGAGAGCCCTTCTAGTGAAGTTCATCAGAGGCTGCCCAGAACCCTGACTTTCTTAGTGAATAGTTTTAAACCAATGAATTTTAACTCTTTCCTCTTATTTCTACTTCTCCTGCCTCTTTGAAAGCTTCTTTTTAATGTTCATCTTAATTGGGTTTTTGTCCCCAAATAAGTCTTTAGGTAGATACCTGACATCCTCCATATGAGCATAAAAGCTCCTTGTCACTTTGAAAGCGTCAAGAGGAATACACAGAAACATAAAATAGACCAGGCAATAAGCAAAAAATTTCAAGACACACATTTGGCAGTTAACACTGACTCAGGTTAGCAAGTTTGCATTTTCTTTGGTAGGAATCATGAGAGGAGAGTGCTTTGTGTCTCCTATGTAGGGAACACACAGAAGAAACAGGATCCAGGGGCACCTGGGTGGCTCAGTCATTAAGCGTCTGCCTTCGGCTCAGGTCGTGATCCCAGGGTCCTGGGATCGAGCCCCGCATAGGGCTCCCTGCTCCGCGGGAAGCCTGCTTCTCCCTCTCCCACTCCCGCTGCTTGTGTTCCCTCTCTCGCTGTATCTCTCTCTGTCAAATAAATAAAATCTTTAAAAAAAAAAAAAAAAAACAGGATCCAGGGGGCACCTCGGTGGCTCAGTTGGTTAAACGGCTGCCTTTGGCTCAGGTCATGATCCCAGAGTCCTGGGATTGAGCCCTGAGTCGGGCTCCCACTTTGGGCTCCCTGCTCAGTGGGGAATCTGCTCGTCTCTCTGCCCCTTCCCCTGCTCTTGCTCACTCTCTCTCTTTCAAATAAATAAATAAAATCAAAAAGGAAGGAAGGAAGGAAGGAAGGAAGGAAGGAAGGAAGGAAGGAAGGAAAAAGAGAGAAAGAAAGAAAGAACGAAAGAAAGAATGAAAGAAAGAAAGAAAGAAAGAAAGAGAGAGAGAGAGAGAGAAAGAAAGAAAGAAAGAAAGAAAGAAGGAAGGAAGGAAGGAAGGAAGGAAGGAAGGAAGGAAGGAAGGAAGGAAAGAAAGAAAGAAAGAAAGAAAGAAAGAAAGAAAGAAAGAAAGAAAGAAAGAAAGAAAGAAAGAAAGAAAGAAAGAAAGAAAGAAAGTAAAAAAACAGGATCCAGGACTGTCAGTGTCACACCTTACCTTTTCACTGAACTGAGAGGGTCCAAGCTCTTCTGCCTGACAGTGTTCCTGTTTTCTGTTGACATTCTCTGTACCTAAGTGGAAACACTGCCATCAGAAGTGTTTGTGGGATGACACACTAATAATTACTTTAATTATTAATAATAGAAATCTTCAACTCTTGTTATTTCGCACACCTGATTTTCTTCTACATTTTTCCTTTAAATGCAACATTTAGTTTTTCCTTCTACTTTAAAATTCATCTTATGTGTACATATGATCCTAATCATATTTTTAAAACACACGTGTATACATATATATAATATATATATAGTGTGTGTATGTGTGTATATATATATATATATATATATATATATATATATATATGTATAAAACGAAAACCTAAAAGAAAATTCTCCCTTTGTTAATTATGGCCATGAGGAGACCACCTTCTTGAATCCAGGATACCACACTACCCTGGTTTTCCTCAAAATTCACTGTACCCTTTGCTAATTCTCTTTCTCTTCCCATTCTCTAGATGTTGGCATGGCTCAGGCCTAAGGCCTTGTACCTCTTAGCAAACATACACCCAGCCAAGGGTTGACCTCGACAATCCCACAGCTTTAGATACTACCTCTAGATGCATCACTTGCAAATTCTATCTTTGGCCTTGACTTTCCTTTGTTTTTGGAAATCTCTACTTCATTTTCCAAGTAAACATCTCAATGACTGAAATTCAACTCTTGATAACAATCCCCCCTCCCAAAAGTACTCTTCCTCCAGTGTTCCACATCTTAGAAAATGACACCTAATCTGTCAGCACATCCTGAATGGCCACCAGTTCTCAATCACCAGCCCTGTTAACACCCTAGCCAAAACCAGCAACGATTACGAGCTCCTGCTCTCCACACCGCTGCCAGAGTGATCACCTAAGAGAAGGCAGTCACACCCCGTCAGTCACCTGCTCAAAACCCTCCTTCTCACCCAGAATAAAATCCAGACACCTTGCCTTGACCTATAGGCTGCTTAATATAAACTGGCCCCCAGCTACCCATCTGACCACATCTCCTTTTACTCTCCCCCTTGCTCACTCTGCTCCGGCCCTAGGGCCACCTTGCTACCTTCAAAATGCCCAGCGTGCTACCCTCTCAGAAAAGTTTTCCTAGTCCTCCCCTTGCCCTAGAATGTTCTTCCCCCTTATCTGCACATTCCCTTACCTCAATCAGGTCTCTGCTCAAATGTCACTAAAGAGAATATTTCCCTGTCCACTCTATCTAATAAAATAGCCCTCTCCATCACATTCTTTCCCTTTATTGCTTTATGTTTTTTCATAGCACTCACATTATATGTTAATATACACAAATAAATATCTAAACATAAATAAATATAAATATATAAATAACTTATAAGTATGCAAATTAATAAAACTCCCAATGCAATATATATTCATTTATTTGCTCTTTTATTATCTGTCCACCTGCACAGATGTTTGCTTCAGGAAAGAAAACATTTTGCCTATTTCACTCACTGCTGTATCCGGAAGGCCTAGAATGGGGCCTGGCAAATAATAAGCACTCATAAATATTTGCGAACAAATGAATGACGAGCCTTCCCTTTCTCTCTCTGAGTTACCAATTCAACGTTTGAAATATCAACTTCCAAAAACACCTCAATCCCCTGAGAGAAATAATAAGGAGCCCTTCCTGCCATCCCTACCTGAACATCCCCATTGGGAAGGATTTGACTGAATTAATGGTGACAGATGAAGGCACTCTGATAATCCATAGTCTCTTAGGTCTCTCTCTAAATCCTATCTTCCCCCAAGCAAAGCAAGGTCTTTTCTTCTGCTCCCAATACCATGTGGTATTTTACCTCCAAGATGCTGGCATGGAGACTCATCTTTCTCTGGCAATTTATTTTGCCAGTCACTGAACTGTAGAGAAGGCTGCCCCCCTCCATGAGCCTGAAGGGATGAATTTGTTCTGCAGACCCCACGTCCTCACCTATGTCAGGGGTGGAGGTGAGGAACAGAATGGCTCCATGTGAGCTCAGATCCAAGCCACATTTCTGCAGTCCAACTTTACCAGTGATAAAGCCAAAGCTATATTAAAATATCCTTTTGTTGGTTTGAACAGAAAGCAGCAAATGGTATGATTATATTGCTGAAGCCACTTGAAAATTCCCAAAGCAGTCATCTTGTTTGTGAGATTATGGATTATTTTTGTGGGGATTTTTTTCTGTATTTTATAAGTTTTCTTTTTTTTTTTAAGATTTTATTTATTGGGGTGCCTGGGTGGCTCAGTTGTTAAGCATCTGCCTTCGGCTCAGGTCATGATCCCAGAAGGAACACAAGCAGGGGGAGCGGGAGAGGGAGAAGCAGGCTTCCCGAGAGCAGGGAGCCCGATGCGGGGCTCGATCCCAGCACCCTGGGATCATGACCTGGGCAGAAGGCAGATGCTTAACGACTGACCCACCCAGGCGCCCCACAGGTTTTCTACAATAAAATGTATCACATTTTTTCCCAAGATCTAGACAGATTCCAAATATAAAAGGAAAGAAGTCTTCAAGAATTTGGCAGTTACTACCAACTTTATCATGAACCATTTTCACATATATTCTTGTTAATGCAATATCGTACCACTTTTATATTCAGAATAGAGTAATATTTTCAAAAAGCTGCTTTAAACTTTACCAATCCCATGAATCATTTTAATGAAATTCAGTTTTTAATTTCATTGCAGAAGTATTTCTAAGATTACAAAATTTGATTTGGAAATACCTTTTTTTCCTTTGAAGGCCACATTTTCAACTCCTCTGGTTCTTGTTGGATATATCACATTTTCAACAATTCTGCTTTCATTCTTAATATCCTGGAAGTGAGTCTTCACTACTGTGGTCAGTAATTTATCATTAAAAAGGCCAACCGAATGACCAGCAACTGCAGCTGTTCTTTCAGAAGTTTTGGATTCCTTGCCTTTCAAACCTGATGCCTGTAAGAGAAACAGGATGCTTTTTAAATATAAAAATAAGATTCAACTTAATACAGGCACCATCACACACCAGTGGGGGAGAGGCTATTTTATTCAATAAAAGTGCTAGTACAGTTGATTAGATACTTGAAAAAAAAATTAAGGATAGATCCTTGCCTCACATTATATACCACATGAATTTGAGGGTTAAATGTAAAAAGTGAACTCTTAATTTTTTTATAAATGGAAAGCACTGGCTAATATTTGTCTGATTTTAGAAAGGCCTAAAAGTAATGGCAGTCACAAAGGAAGAGATCAGAGATATAAAATTTTAAAAATTTAAATTTAAAAACAAATCAAGCTAACCACAAAATATGGGAGTTTGGAGATGGGTGTATGTTTTGTTGATTATAGAGTCCCAAAGTACATAAGCCAATAAGAAACATATTCCCTACTTTTTCTAGTCAGAATTAGAAAAAAGACACCATAAGAAATATAAAACCCTGGCAATAATACTGGGGCTGCAATGGAGTAAATCCTACCCTCCTGCACCTATTTGAGATGGAATTCAGCTACTGAGACCATATGCTATTGCAGACCCTGCCACCATACTGAGCACAAAGTACTAACTACAAGTAGATCCTTCCCTGAGCTCACTCTCTTGAACTTCTTCTATTATCCAGGTAAGGGGCTTCTATTTCAATGTTTTGATTTGTTCCCCAGCCCATTTAGGGAAGTGGACTCATAAGCTGCGCCCAGTGCTTACATAGGTAGTCCAACCTGATTATACCAAAGCTCAGACTTAATCTATCCTAAATTACCCTCAGGGAGGACAGGATATTTCATGAGCCTGAGTAAGGGTTAACAGATCACAAAGATGTTTTGGGCTCTCAGCTCAGAGGACTCTGTACTCAGAATAGGACCTCACTGGGGACAAGCAAGCTACTTTTGACCTCCCAGGTCAAGAAAACAGTCTAGGTACACAACACCCTGTTCATCCCAACGGCACCTTAAAATGAAAGTATAAGAATAAAAAAGGTTGAGGTCAAATTTTAATTAATGGTCAACTTTAATTAAAAATGCAAAAGCAGAGTTCACAACAACAGGAGATGAAAATGGCTCATGCTGAGACATACAAAACAAACGGAGAAAAAAAGAAAAAAATATATTAAAAAATAATAATAAGGGCGCCTGGGTGGCTCAGATGGTTGAACGTCTGCCTTCAGCTCAGGTCATGATCTCAGGGTCCTGGGATCGAGTCCCACATCAAGCTCCCTGCTCCTTGGGAGCCTGTTTCTCCCTCTGCCTTTCTCTCTCGCTCTGTCTCTCACAAATAAATAAATAAAATCTTTATAAAAAAACAAAACAAAACAAAACTAATAATAATAATAATAATAAAACAAAGGGAGTGTCTCCTGAAAACGAAACTCATTATAATCTATTGAGTATTTGTTACAGAAGATACTTTTAACGGAGGAAAACAGTTTCTTAAAATATTCACAACTAGACTGTGTAGGAAACAGTAAAAATATTTGCGTTCCTCCATCCTAGTCCCAAATGGTATGATGTAGTAATCCCAAAATAGTTCCTCCTAGCAGAGGAAAAGAAATGACAAGAGATTTTTCAGATTTTTCAGGAATTCTACTTCACAGACTTGTCTCTATACAACAGTGGCTATAATAGCCCCCACCAATCCCAATGGTTACGTGGCTAGTCACTGAGCTTCCTTGTTGTCTTTCGGCGACCTCAGAAAAACTTCCAATCAATTTAAATTCAGAAAATGTCACTGCACCTCTGCCCTCATCAATTCTAATGCCATATCTCTTTATTCAAGTGTCTGCATTTAATTTATCTTTGAAATCAAAGGAATTCTCCCTGATGACTACTAATCTCTTCTCTCCAGCATTAAAAAAAAGAGATGTCTCAGAAATAACCCCTTCAAGAGCTACTACAGAGATACAGGATTTTGAAACAAGAGCAGCATTTTGGCCAAGAGTTATTATAATAGGTGAAAGCATCTTCCCAGTATCAATAATATATTTTAAGACACTTTCGACCATAGTGTCAGAAAGCAAAAAGCTATAAAGAAAAACTGTGAGTTCGTAAGTAAGGCACTAGAGAGAAATAATTAGATTCATTCCCTGTGTTCGTGTATATTTTTTAAAAAATTAGTTGTTTATTTTCATTGACGTTGCCTTTACTGCTGCCAATAAACAAAATCGTACTGGAACCTCACGACTGCTTTGGCATTTCCGGGACCCTAGCACTTAAAGACACTGCTTTCAAGCGCTCGATGCAAAGAACACGGAAGGCTACATCTTGAACTTGCTAACCAGCACAGGTGGTGAAAACACAGAGCCCTTTGTGCCTGGAGAAAGCACTAAGGTCACAAGGGAATTCCCACCAATGCAGACAAGACAGGAGGATGCCTTCACAACTCGAATCCTTGGCTCGAATCCTTTGCCGGCGCTTTTCAAAAGCAAACGGTGGCCTCGGTTTCTGGGTAATTCTCTCCGCTCTTGTTCCCCGAGAAGTGGGAGGCGACAGTTAAGCCCAAACAGCCTGGGAAGGGACTCCTCGACGAGACAGCTTTGTCCCCGACCACGAGATGCCGGGTGGCACCGGGCGGTGGCAAGGCGTTCCCTGGAGTTGAGCCTCTCTCTCGGCCTGCTAGGAATTGCAGGCGCGGCGCTGCACCGCCCCAGGCGCAGGTGCCAGAGAAGCGAGGCCCAGGTCTGCGGCGGCGCTTTCTCCGCGGCAGGTGGCTCTCCGCCCGCGCCGGGCTCCCCCGCGCGCCGCCCGGGACAGCTCCGCACCCCGCCCGCCCCGCGCCGCGCCCTGCTGCGGGACCGTGGTAACCCGGCGGGAACGACCCTGCCCGCAAAATCCAAAGCGAAAGCAACTTGCCATGGCGGAGGAGAGACGCGCCTTCGGCGGCCGGCAGGGCCCGGATCTGGCACGGCGCGGGCCGCGAGGCGGGGCCCGGCAGGCAGGTTTTGCTTTCGGTTTTTGGCGGCCGCCAGCTTGGAGACAAGGCGAGGGAAGGACGGCCCCTCCGCCCCGTCCTGCTGCTCTGCGCCTCTTGGCCTCGGGGCGGGAGCTCCGACCTGGGCCGGCTGCTGCCTCGGTAGTTGCACAACTTCGGCGCCCGCGCTGGAGGGGGGGCCAGCAGGAATCCCCGGCAGTAATCCCGGGACTCCCCGGGGGCTGTGTCTGTCCCGTGCTCAGTTCTTTCTGCGCCCTCAGCTCCCCAGTCGTGGGACTTCTCGCCACACCACACCTGTTTCTCCTCTTCCTCACCTGCCTGCCCGGGCCAGTCGCGCGGTGGCCAGGTGCACCGGGCACGGGTTGCAAAGCGCAGGGTCCCTGTCAACAGAGCGCTCACCATCTTGTCCACGGTGTTCAGACTCCAGAGTCTGGCACCCAGGGGGACACAGGTCGTCTACCTACATGGCTTCGAAGTCAAAGAGAGCATGAAGAAGAAAGGCAAATGGCTGGCAAACATGAAGAAGCTTGGCCCCACTTCTAAGTAAAGAAATACAAATTGAAGTCATAATGAGATCCCTTTTTGCCACGATTAGGTTGGTAAAAATTAAAAAGTGTCGTAATAGCCAGTGTTAGCCAGAGTGTGAGGAAGCATCTGTGTTGCTGCAAGCCTAGATAGGTGCAAACACTTCTTCTAAGGATTTTGACCACTTTCAAAAATGCAAACTGAAAAAGAAGTGTGAAAATGCATACACTTGGCAGTTCCACTTTCAGAACTCAAGTATAACTTAGAGTGCACAAGTGGAACGAAGATACGGTACACTAATTCCAACTGTGCATTGCTTTAATATGTGTAATTTATTTAAGTTTTTTCACTCAGTCCATGAATAGAGCCACTTATTATATGGCTGATGGCACATCTATAAGGCCTAAGGCTATGACGATTTTAAATCGGGATGAGGTAAATCTACATGTAATTCCCCAACTCAGACTTTTCTTCAGATTCCTATATCTAAATGCCTGCTTGTATGTGTAATAAGTGTGTGAAATTTAACAAGACCAAGCCAAACTCTCCTTCCACCCTTTCTTCCCTCTCAGTAAATAATAACACTACCCACCCAGGAGCCCAAGCTCATGACTCACGTGTCTTCTGTGATTCCTCTTTTCCTTAGCTCTGTTAGTACATCCCATAAACACACACTCTCTCCAACCCCACCTTCGCCAGCCAGATCGTCCACACCCAGCCTTGTTCCCCTTCAATTCATTCTGGATACCACATACTGAACAATTCTTATTTAATGTAGATCAGATTTGTTCCCTGTTTAAACACTTTGTTGTTTTTAGAGGCTCCTGGGTGGCTCAGTCGTTAAGCGTCTGCCTTCCGCTCAGGTCATGATCCCAGGGTCCTGGGATTGAGCCCGGCATCGGGCTCCCTGCTCCTCAGGAAGCCTGCTTCTCCCTCTCCCACTCCCCCTGCTTGTGTTCCCTCTCTTGCTCTCTGTGTCTCTCTCTGTCAAATAAATAAATAAAATCTTTTAAAAAAAAATAAACACTTTGTTGTTTTTAATACTGTACATTTGTTTGGGGTTTTTTTAATTTATTTTTTACTTTAAGTTCCATTGCACTTTAAATAAAATTCACATTTCTCACCAGGAAACCAAAATGGCCTTGATCTGCTTTCTCTAGCTAGACCCCCATAAACTTTCCTCACTCCCTCTTTTCTGACCACACAACAAGCCATCTAACTCGTGTCTTTTCTTCCCTTGGTTGTTGTTTTGGGGGGGGGGGGTTGTTTGTTTTAATTTATTTGACAGAGAGAGAGAGCGCGCACAAGCAAGGGGGAGCGGCAGGCAGAGGGAGAAGCAGACTCCCGCTGAGCAAGGGGTCCAATGCGGGACTCAATCCCATAACCTGAGCCGAAGACAGACGCTTAACCCACTGAGCCACCCAGGCGCCCCTTACCCTTGGCTCTTTGTCCAGGTCTGGATAGCTCCTCCCTGATCTTCACTTAATGACTCCTTGCTGGGACTGGAGTCTTAGCTCAAATGACCCCTCTTCAGAGAGACTGCTTCTGATTACCCCGTCTGAATTTGTCCCCCCAAGTTGTTACCCTATCACCCTGTTATTCTGTCTTAATAGTATCACCCCTTTCTAAAAATATCTTCATATATTTATTTTTTTCTCACTTGTCTCCCCCCACATGGTAGACATTAGTACTGCTCACCAATGTCACTTGATCTTCTCAATTCAGGCACTGGACGGATTGCCCTTCCTCAGCCTTTGATTTAGGCAAGGCCATATCATTCATTCAGCCAATGAAAATGAAGAGAACTGACATGTCTCGTATTTGGTGAAGGTACTTCACTGGCAGCACAAGATTCTCCAATGCTCTCCTCTTGGCCTTGGTGCTCATGGAAGAATGCATTGAAGGAAATGTGCACCGCTGAGCTAATACGCAGAACACATTTGCACTAGAGAGTTGCCTGGACCCATAACAAAATATATGGGAATGAAAAATAAAGCTCTGATGTTTTAAGCCACTGAATTTTCTTCAGCAATATCACCTAGCATACTAGAATAAAAGAACACCATGAAAATATTTGCAAATTACACATCTAATAAAAGATTTGTATCTACATTATACAAAGAACTATTACAACACAAAAATAAGACAATCCAACTTAAAAATGGACAAAAAATCAAATAAACATTTTTCAAAGAAGACACATGAACGGATAATATGCTCATGAAAATATACTCAGCATCATTAGTCATTAAAGAGATACAAATTAAAACCACAATGACATACCACTCCACAAATGGCTATAATCAAAAAGATAATAACATGTTGTCAAGAATGTGGAGAAAGGAGAACTCTCATACATTGCTGATGGGAAAGTAAAATGTTACAGCCATCTTTTAAAACAGTTTAGCAGTTTCTCAAAAAGTTAAGCATAAATTTACCACATGACCAGGAAATTTCACTCCTAGATAACTACCCAAGAAAAATGAAAACATATGTCCAAACTAAGACTGCCAGTGTTCATAACAACATTATATATAATAGCCAAGAAGCAGAAATAACCCAAATGACCATCAATTGCTCGAAGTATAAACAAAATGCAGTATATACACACAATGTAATACTACTCAGTAATAAAAAGGAATGAAATACTAATACATGATACAAAGATGAAGCTCAAAAACATCAAGCAAAGCAAAAAAACCAGACACAAAAGGTCACATGTTGTATACTTCTGTTTAACCAGAAAAGACAAACATATGAAAAGAGAAAGCAGAAAAGAGGTGCCTTGGGCTGGAGGTGGGAACAAAGATTAACTGTAAATGGACATGAGCACCATGATCCAAGCTGGGACTCTCTCCAGGGAATAACAAGAGATCTAGGATTAGACTCAGGAAGGCAGGTCTACCCATATGTGCCATGGAACCTGACTTGTATGCCCCAACGATTCCAGCTTGTACATGCTGACAGGGTGCAGGACAATGCTACCCCCAAAATATGGCCATTTGGCATACTGTGTATTTCAAACTGGGGGAATAAGAGAAAGGACATGTGCAAGAAGGACTTTCTGACATTCCCCTGAAGCAGGTTATAAAACCGTCCTGTGTTTTATGTAACCCTCATTCCTCCCTGTATCCAGAAGAAAGGAATAGCCTTATCTCCAAAGACAAAAGGACACAAAAAGGAATCTGAATGAAAAGGTCTTGCTGTTTCCCTTTGTTTATTACACTTAACTAACACTCTTTGTCCTATCATCTCCAACTTTTTATGACTTTATACTTTTCATCAACTTTAGCACAGAAACCCTCAGGTTTAAGTATTTCTTTGGGTCTTCATCTCCTTATGCAGGCTCCCATATCACATAAAATTTATAGTAAATAAATTTCTGTGCTTTTCTCCTGTTAATTTGGTTGTATCAGTTTAATATTCAGGCCCAGCCAGGGACCCTAGGAGGGTTAAGGAAAACTTTTGTCTTCCCCTAATGTGCCAAACAATCCTTGAGGAAACATGACTCCAAATGTGGTCAAAATAATTCTAGCAGCTTATTACTGAAACTGCATCCAAAAAAATATTTTAATCTCTTACAGCCCCAGTTATGAGGCCTCCCATCTCACTGTACTTTGCTCTGAATCATAGCTTAAGTAAAATCAAATTGACATTTTCCTGGGTGTTTTTAATTTGTGATACCAAAAAAACAAAAATAAAACCTATTACTGGATATTTCACCTGTATCTTGTTAATTATTTAATTTCATAAGATGTGGCATATATTGTGAAGATTTCTAAAAATAGCATAAGAAGAAAATCATTTTTAAAGGAATAGTACTCAATGCTGAAAGGGAACGATGAAATAGTCCTTATTGTACTTATAATAAAAGTACTGAGGGGTGCCTGGGTGGCTCAGTCGTTAAGCCTCTGCCTTCGGCTCAGGCCATGATCCTAGGGTCCTGGGATCCAGCCCCACATCGGGCTCCCTGCTCGGCGGGAAGCCTGCTTCTCCCTCTCCCGCTCCCCCTGCTTGTGTTCCCTCTCTCGCTGTCTCTCTCTGTCAAGTGAATAAATAAAATCTTAAAAAAAAAAAAAAAGTACACACTGATGCCTACCTTTCTGGAAAGCAACTGTAGCCATACGTATCAAGATCCTTAAAAAGAATTTGTATCCTTCACCCTATCAACCTAGTGATTATCACCTTGAAATAAGATTAAACTTGCAGAAAAAGATTTGTATTCCAGGATATAAAACGGTTTATATACATCATAGCACCTATAAATGTGAAAAATTGGAAACAATCTTAATGTCCTACAATAGAGAAATAATAACCCTAGAAATAGTTTATATTCACAAAATGAAATGTGATACATGATTGGGAGAAAAAATTGGAAAGGAGGACTTAAAAATGTTACCACTATCTGGGTGTGGATTTTTTTTAAAGATTTTATTTATTTATTTGACAGAGAGAGCACAAGTAGGCAGAGCGGTAGATAGAGGGAGAGGGAGAAGCAGGCTCCCCGCTGAGCAGAGAGCCCGATTTGGGACTCGATCCCAGGACTCTGGGATCATGATCTGAGCTGAAGGCAGACGCTTGACTGACTGAGCCACCCAGGTGCCCCTGGGTGTGGATCTTTGATGACTATTATCTTCATTATAGTTTGTGTATCTTTCGAGAATGAGCATCTTTTTTTTCAATACCAACCAGATATCATTAATGCTATTCATTGTACAGTTTTGGCTTTCTGCCTTCCAAGCATGTGGTAGGATTGAATATCCAAGCTCCTTTATCATTGGGTGGGGCCACATACTTAGTTCTGGTTGAGTTGTGAATGAAAAGGACATTTCTGGACCAAGAATTTAATTGCTATTTCAAGACCCTTCGAAGCTCTTTTCCTTTGGCATGATATCCAGCAATAAAGTTGATGGCTGCTGGGGCACTTGGGTGGTGCAGTCAGTTAAGCCTCTGACTCTAGATTTCCACTCAGGTGGATCTCATGGTCTTGAGATGGAGTCCTGCATCAGGCTCTTGCTGAGCAGGGAGTCTACTTGGGATTCTCTCTCCCTCTGCCCCTCCCACTCATGCGGTCTCTCTCTGAAATAAATAAATCTTTAAAAAAAAAAAAAGTGGGACGCCTGGGTGGCTCAGTCGTTAAGCGTCTGCTTTCGGCTCAGGTCATGATCCCAAGGTCCTGGGATCGAGCTCCGTGTCGGGCTCCCTGCTCTGCGGGAAGCCTGCTTCTCCCTCTCCCACTCCCCCTGCTTGTGTTTCCTCTCTCGCTGTGTCTCTCTCTGTCAAATAAATAAATAAAATCTTTAAAAAAAAAAAAAAGTTTGTGGTTGCTTGTTAGTCTGCGTCCCTCTAAGTGTCTACCCTGAGCATTCTTTTTGTTGACCCATCATGGACGTGTAGCATGACCAAGGAGTAAAATTTTGTTGTTTTGGTCTCCGAAATTTAGAGATAATTTGCCATACCGACATCATATAATCTATCTTGATTGATACAGAACTGGTATTCTGGAGCATTGCTATAGTCAAAAGAAAAAAAAAAAAAAGACAATCCCCAACACAATCTAAAATACATGGCTTTGGTTTAGGGGCAGGTAATTAGAAAATAATTATCAGAGATTAGAAGGATGGTGATCCATATTATGTAGCGGAAAAACATTTGGTAAAACTGTCACATGTGATAGCTTGGAAGGCAGATAATGTACCTAATTAGCTTGTAGTTTTTTTTAAAAAGGGTGTGAAAAACAAAATTAGTAGCATATGTCTGTTACTATTGAGTGCATTTGACAAAGTAATATAAAAAAGGAATGAGCTTAGAAAAGAATCGGCCAGTTGGAAAGCCAAAATGAAAGGGAATAGAGAAATACAGAAATATGGGAATTTATAGGATGGAAGAAACAATACTCCTCATTCTCAAATGACAAAACCTTTGAGTAACAAAGGCTGATTAGAACTCTGCTTTATTGCAAGGATCAAATCAATAATCAAATCAAGCTTTGGATCTCTGAACAGATTAAGGTCCCTCAGAACAACAACAACAAAAAAACAGTAATTCAAAACAGAATTCAATAAACCCTTTCAGTTAGACAAACTGGCTCAGAGAAAAGAAACTAAAAGTGGTCTGATAGACTAAAGTACCTACAATTAAGTAAAGAGAGGGAGAGAAGAATAGGACCAAGAAAGCAGAGAATTATAGCAACTCTAAAAAGTGAGTCTAGAAAAAACTGTCAATCTGGCTATTAGCACATGTAAACTGACCAAAATAAAATAGATTAGAAGCCTATTAAGCTTTTGAAGTGTAACAGCTAACTAGCTACCAGCCAGAGTAAAGAGACTGTGATGACTCAAAACTTTAAAAATTTTGGTACCAAACATTGATCATAGATAGTGTGCTGAATGAATAAGGTTTTCAGCCTCCAAGAAGATATATTCTAGATACGGAAAAGGAGAATAATGGAAAAAGAAGAATGCCCAGGAGCTACACAGACAATGAGCAAGAGAAGAATTTCCAGAGTGGAATCATGGCTTACCCAAAATTCCACACTCAAGGTGTATGAAGCATATATCTACTCAGCGAGATTTCAGAATGGCTTTGGCCCAGAATACACGTCTCCCATTCATCCCCTTTTCCAAATTCAAGTTTATTGCAGTTCTCTTGTTCCAGTTCCACTACTATCTACCATGGGGTGGGGGTCTCTGGATAAAGGGGAGTAACATTCAGACTTGATATAGAAACTACCACGTACCACCTAGAGTTCACGCACTTTGAGTTTGATACCACGACTTAATGGAACTTTTGGTTTTTCCACACTAGTATGGGTGAGTGTGTGTTTTGCGTATGAAGAAGAGTGATCCAAATATTGATGATCAGTAGGACAGGAAAGACTACATTCATTAATATTCTGGCTCAACTGTATCTGGTTCTCCTCATTTTTACAAGACCGAATTTTCCAGTCCCTTTTTGTTTAAATGAGGTCAGATGACTATTTCTGGCCAATGAGATGTGAGACAAAAGACATCGTCACTTCTAAATTACAGCATTTAATTCCTGGTGCAAGACTCTGCAGACTTCATTTTTCCACACCTCCATGTTTCTGGAAGTGTGTCTCAAGATGGGGCCTTAAGTGATTGGGACAAAAAGACTCCCCTCCCAACCTGTGTTGGACATTCAACATGAATGAGAATTAAACTTTTGTTTTGTTAGGCCCCTGAGATTCAGGAGGTTGTCATTACAGCACAGCCTAGGCTATCTTGACTGATAAGTCCACAAAGGGCAAGAGGGACTTGTGATTCTACATATTCATCTTTCCTGACTTATAGGCTGACAATGTCTAGGCTTTCGAACTTAATATGCAGTAGTCAACACAGTATCTTCTGGTAAATTTTCAAAGGCAACTTTGCTCCTACAAAATCTCTAAAACTCTAGAAATAAGCAGGGTAGCCAGTGCTTGATTTCTGAGACCTCGCCAGATCACACAAGGGCGGAATGGTGAAAGGAGCCTGAGGGAAAAGTCTCATTTTCTACAATAAGTAGTATTTATTAAAAAAACCATTGTGTATATTTAGAATTGAATGAGATTATCTATTTTACGGCCTGAAGAAGGCCCCCAGAGGAAACAAAAGTGACTATTTCAAACCTTGTCCCAAATGTTAGGAAAAAATTCTTCCTGATTGGCAGTCTGCCACCGACTAAAAATGACACCTTCCGTGTCAGTGAAGCCGTACCAATCAAAATTAAATAGGTTCTTTAAATTTTTCTTAATCTTTTGAGGGGCTTGAAATAATCTTGCCGTTCCCAAAGAACAACTGACATATGATTTTTTCCCCTAAAACAGTGAAAATGCAGAGTTATTATACAGTGCCCAGTTTTTAGGCACCATCTCTCATTCTAAAGAGAAATGTGAATGCAACAAGTACTTCTAACGGTAGCATAACAACTTTAAAATCTAAAAATAAATAATCAGAAGCGAACCAAGTTGTTTTTTGGGTTTTTTTTTTTAACTTTCCCTTTATTTTAGATGGCAGGCAGCACTGGGTAGGTTTAGGTTTAGAATCTTTTCTAAAGCATTTCATTTCTGCTAGCATTTTAATATGAATTTACTTCTGCTGTTGACTCTTTATGGAACACACCGTATAGGATAAACGCTGTTCCAACGTTTGTTTTTTTTTAAAGATTTTATTTATTTATTTGACAGAGAGAGAGAGACAGCGAGAGAGGGAACACAAGCAGGGGGAGTGGGAGAGGGAGAAGCAGGCCTCCCACAGAGCAGGGAGCCCGATGTGGGGCTCGATCCCAGGACCCTGGGATCATGACCTGAGCCGAAGGCAGACGCTTAACGACTGAGCCTCCCAGGCGCCCCTGTTCCAACGTTCTTTACCAAAGAGAATTTTACCTCCTCTGAACAGGAACCTCACCTCTCACTGTTTAGTTTCTACAACTTAAAACCAGTGGGATGCTAATGGACTGGGCGTCTCTCAAACTAAAAGGTAAGCCCCTACAGGGCAGCTCCTCCGCTTTCAGCCTCAGGGGTTCCTCAGCATCTAGCCTGACGAGTGATGAGCCACTAGCTTTGCATTTACTTCTCCCTTTATTCCAAGGATGTCATTCTGTTAAACATTCTTTCCATCTTAAGTGTAAAAGAAAGAAAATTATGGTCTTTACAAGTTCTATTTGGAGAAGATGTTTTGGAAAGAATCGGGACACTTGGCACTCTGGGCGAAGAAAATTTTAAGTAAAAAGACCACACTCAGCTCTGAAAAATACCTATGGGGCTGTGGAGGAAAATGCTATAATGGGAAATTGGGAAATGATTGCTCTTGAAGTCCCTTGAAAGTCAAAGCCTACAGAAATCACAAACAGCTGAATGTAACATTTCTTTTGGGAAATGTGAGGAGTCAAGTCTGCATATTGGTGGACTTGGGGCCAAAAGAGAATTGGCCCACATGCTCATAACCAAAGGAGCCAACACAGCAGGGGGACAATTGCATCACTTATGGTTGATTTCAATGGACATGGCACCAAGCCACATAATTTATGAACAAATAAAACTGTTTTTAATGCAGTGCACTTACTGCATTTATAAGCATGCAGCAGAGTTTGAAACAAAGAACAATTCAAAAACAAGGAAATATATTTTGTATCTAAGAATAAATGGCCACTAAAGAATTAAAGTCTTCATTCTTTAAAGGAAAAAGGATATTCATTTTTGTCAAACTGACAGTGATTTGGGCTCAGAGGCTCTAATATTCAGACCATTCCATTCCTCTCTTCTTCAAAGTACGTGATGTAAGGTTGACCTAGAGAACATTTGACCACTTCCACCTCTCCACCTCCGTTCGCCTTCCGTTGAAAGTGAATGTTAACTAAATCCTGTAAAAGTTCTTCATCCATCATCTGAAGATCTTCCATTCCAGTCAGAAGCACCGTCCTCTCCGATATTCCCGAAAATACCTAAAAGGGAAAATTAAAAAGATAAATAGAAAATTTTCTAAGAGCTTTGAATTGCAAAACTTTAGACTTATAAAGCTCTGCTTCATATCTTGGACCTTATCTTAGAAGACACCAGGAGCCTCAGCAAGATGTTTCACACAAGAGAATATCGGAGTCAGATCTGAATTTCAGAAAGATAACTCTGGTGGCATTATGATGAATAGCGGAAAGACGGGCATCTCTATGGACAGAAAGACCAGTGAGAGAGGTACCAGAGGGGCCAGTGACAAGACTGAGTGACCAGATGAATGTGGGAGGTGAAGCAAAATGAAGAATTCAGCATGAGTTGTAGCTTTCAGGATGGTGAACTACGTAGATGGGGGTGCCACTTAATACCTAAGTAGGAATAGAAAAAAAGGAATAGGTCTGGGGTAAAGATAATGAGTTCAGAGAAAATGAGCTGGAAGAATTCTTTTTAATGCCCAAGGATAGTAGACACATAAGAGAAATGTAGCTATGTCTCCACAAATAAAAATATTATACCATTACCTGAGTAATTTCAGGTTTTACAAAGTATGTAAGAAATTAAATAAGGTACAGTTTTGCATTAAAGTATTTTTTTAAAAGACAAACTTATTTTGCACCAAGCAGATATGAAGAAACTATTTTTTGAGATTGCTCACTAATAAGATTCAACAGGAACAGACTCACAACTTTTTCTTTATTTTTTGTGGGGTGGGGTTGAGCTGTAAGTTCCCAAAATGAAGGAAAAGAGATGACTTTACCTGAAAATTTTTCAAGTGTGTTTCTGTGTATGGAGAAACAGTAACTCTATAGCAGTTTTGATTTATATAAAGCGGATAGTCTTTCTTTTTCAAAATCTTGTCAGCAACTAGAAGTAAATTTTTTTAAAATTATTTTCTTTTTTATAACATAGACATTTTCAACCAAAGTTAAAACTTTCTTCAAACAGAACATCACAGTAAACAGTGAACTGAGTGTTTTTAAAAATTCTACACTCCACTTCACAGTACATAATTTTGAAAAATACAAGACCCAACAATAATGGGGTTTAATAGATTTTTCTGTCTTGAACTATCCACGGCAATCAGTGCAGAGAGCTGTGATGTCCTCAGATAGATCTATCTTGAGCTACAGAAAATGCAAAATAACCATCTGCAAAAAGTAACCCGCCCCCCATCATCCTAACAAAACTGCGAGTTTCCCAGTTGCTCAAGAAGTATAACTGGAAATTATGATTAGAATACTATACCTATAGGGACACCTGGGTGGCTTAATCAGTTCAGTGTCTGCCTTCAGCTCAGGTCATGATCCCAGGGTCCTGGGATCGAGCCCCGCATCGGGCTCCCTGCTCCTTGCGAAGCCTGCTTCTCACTCTCCCACTCCCCCTGCTTGTGTTCCCTCTCTCACTGTGTTTCTCTCTGTCAAATAAATAAAAGCTTTAATAAATAAATAAATAAATAAATAAATAAATAAGTAAGTAAGTAAGTAAGTCTTTAAAAGAAAAAGGGTGCCTGAGTGGCTCAGTTGTTCAGTGTCTGCCTTTGGCCCAGGTCATGATCCCAGGGTCTTGGGATCGAGACCTGAGTCAAGACTCCCTGCTCATGGGAAGCCTGCTTCTCCCTCTCCTGCTCCCCCCTGCTTGTGCGCTCTCTTGCTCTCTCTCTCTCTGTCAAATAAATAAATAAAAATCTAAAAGAAAAGAAATGGCAGAACATAATTTAAATGGTAAAGTGTTTTTTAACTGCCTAAATGGGCAAATACCTCCAGTTTCCACAAATGTGATCACGGCACTCCGGGACTGCTTATCATACTGCACGCATCGCACTTCCCCGCCTCCGTTTATGGACTTAGAAAAGCTCAGTTCTAGCTTGTCTCTCATCTGATCTTCAGGCAATCCATCAGGAATGTCAGTAACATTGATCTTCACTGTAGAGTATTCTTCATGAACCTGGGAAATCATTTCATATTCAACAATAGGGGTGAGACAAGTGACACCTCACAGAATTCTAAAAAGCTATAATCAGCATGTTACCTGGAATCTGACTCCTGAATTTAATGGAACTGGCTTGGCCAAAACCTCCACATCTACATCCTTTATCTTCACATAATGCTTCCCCATCCTGATGATGTTTTGGGCAACTGAAAAATAATTTGGGAGTATTAATTGCCAATATTTTAATAAATGTTTTCACTTTGGGTTTAAGAACAAATTATCCTAAATATTTTAAATTTTCTTTAATGAAGGATCTAATTTTTAAAAATTTCCTAGGACTTCCAAGTGTTATTGGTCTTGCCACCAAAGTGGCAAATAAATATATTAATGTCAAAAATGTCAAAATACATCAGCAAAAATTACGAAGTAGTCAAAAGGTACAAACTTCCAGTTATAAGGTAAATAAGTACCAGGATTGTAATGTACAACATCCTGTGTGATATACAGGAAAATTGTTAAGAGGAGTAGGATCCTAAGCGTTCTCATTACAGCAAAAAAAAAAAGTTTTTTCCTTTTTATTTTTTTTTCCTTTTGGTTGACTCTGTGGGAGTCCTGTTTATTGTACCCATATGAGAAGATGGATTTTGGCTCTACTTGCCGTGGTCCCTGTTTCACAATATACGTAATCAAACCGTCATGCCATATACCTTAAACTTAGTGACACACGTCAATTATTTCTCAGTAAAACTGGAAAAAAAACTATAGTGTAGAAAGTCTCATCAAGTTCTAGATTCATCCCTTAAGAGAGAAGCCTGGTGATCCTTCAGAAATTCATGTATTACTTCAGCACAGCCACACACCCTTTAGAATTCCCCTGTTAACAGAATGATGAGAGAATTCCCTTAGTATATTAGTTGAAGTACAGCCAGAAACTTCACCCATGTTGAGTAAGTAGGAAAAAGTTGTATGGGTCAGTGGCATTCTGACAATCTTATTTATCATTTGTCACTTCTCTTTAATGTTATAAACACCAAAGATATTCATTTTCGTCTTTCCTAAGAATGACATATTAAATACCACATAGGTTTGAATATCAAAGTGTAAGTCTTTTTTATTTTTTTTGCTGTATTTAATGAGGAATTCTACTTTTGCTAAAATGCTCTTGAGATCACTTTATTAAAAAGATGATAGCCTATGCCAATCACAAAACTACCAAATCTAATTTATTTGTGCAAATGGGAGAGGTTCAGTAATGTAATTATGCCAAAAATCATTAAAACTCCAGATAGCAATTATATTTCAGTTTAAAATGCATGTGGGTGGTGCATTTATTTTTAATTGTGTGACATGAGAGTTTATAACACTTCAGTTGTTAATACAGAGCCACTTACTCTAATTTGTCATAAAGATAAGAGATGCCCACTCTGGTCTTATAAATCTCACATGTGGGGGCGCCTGGGTGGCTCAGGCGTTAAGCGTCTGCCTTCGGCTCAGGTCATGATCCCGGGGTCCAGAGATCGAGCCCCATGTTGTCAGGCTCTCTGCTCAGCAGGAAGCCTGCTTCTCCCTCTCCCACTCCCCCTGCTTGTGTTCCCTCTCTCGCTTGCTGTGTCTCTCTCTGTCAAATAAATAAATAAAATCTTTAAAAAAAAAAATAAATCTCACATGTGTTTATGACAACCAGACAGCACACACATCACAGCTGAAGGAAGAGAGAAACAGGCTAAAAGGCAGGGCGTTGTCATGTGGGAATTCACACTCATTGTACCATGATATGACTCGATAACTTGAATATCAACTTTTTTTTTAATTAATGACAGCAAGCAACAATAACAGAAAATGTCAATTAAGAAATACTCTGCCCTTTCCCTCCCACACACCCCCACCCAAACCTCCAACATCTGGTGATCTGATGCAGCTGAGAGGACCACTTGCGTTTCAACTTTTGTGACTCTATCAAAAGCCAACTTCTGTTTAATTGTGTATAAGCCCAAAGTTGTCCCAGGAGAGCAAGACCTCAGAGCCATGCCCAGAATGGAAGCAGCGATGCAGCTGTTTCTGAAGACAACCCTGGTCCCAGCATTCCCGGGTAATTGCTGAGCAGAAGCCTCCCAAATCCTCGCTTCTGTCTTTTGGTTGTATCCCCATTACCATTGCCAACTGCCAACACACACAGGGCTCCTGGCCTCCTCCCCTACCCTCAGCTCAAGGGTAGATCCAGGGTGGACCCATGGTGAACCAACAGTATGTGCATATGCTGACCTGCTAGAATGCCTTTCTTTCTAATATTTATTTTCAGGCTATAGTGATAGACCAGGTGTAAGGAGATACAAGTTATAATCCTAGATTCTCAGAATCTGAGCACCAGAAGGGCTTAAGACCATCTGGTCCCACCCCAAAACTAGACATATATAAGACTGAAGGCCTGGAAGAGTGGTCTGCTCCAAGGACTGTTGGTCCAGTACAAGGCACATGGGTGCTCAGGGGTTTGGCTCTCGGTTTTGCAATTTTTAACTGTATGGACCTTGAGCAAGTTCTTTATCTTCTGTAAGTTTCAGTTTCCTTATCTGGAAAATTCCTAATGGGTAGCAGTAATGACAGCTAACATTTATTAAGTGTTGATTATGTGTCAGACCCATGCTAAGTATTGTACCAGCATTTCTCATTTAACACTCAACCCAAACCCATGAGGTAGGGACTACCACAAAGCCTGCCATAAAAATCTGAGATTTAGAAAGAACCCAACCCAAATCCACACCTAGAAATGGGCTAAGCTGGCACTGAAGGCCAGATTGTCCTAACGTGCCCCCAGCTCTGAACAGGGTCCTATACCATGTCAGACTTAGCAAACATCAGGTCCCATTCCCAAATCTCTGACTCTTGGGCTCTTTCCATTCACTGGGCATGTACCCTTAGGTAAATCACTTAAACACCCGAGAATCTGTTTTCTTAGTAATAAGACGTAAACCACAATTCTCCTATCATATTGCTTTCCGAGTCATGTGAGTATAAAATGAGATGTCTGAGAGAACTGTCTGAGAACTGTGTAGAGCTCTACTAGCTTAAGACATTATTACTAGTATCATTTGGAGGTAGCAGGTGGAGTAGAAAGAAGAAAGACGCTGGTATTAGCTATCACAACACCTGGGCTTGAGTCCCAGAGTCGTCATGTTCTGAACAAGTGATCTTATTCAAGGCACTTAATGTCTCAGTTTTCTCATCATAAAATGGGGATAATCCTACCTGACCCAGGGTGTCACTATGAGATGAGATGAGATGATAGATATAAAAATTGTAAAGCAATAGCCAAATATCTAAGAAAGTTCTTTGAAAGTCTCAGTGCTTTCCAAAAGTAACATGGTCAAATTTTTGAACATTATTCATACCTTCTTCTTTTTCAAAGGTGATAAGAGCTTGTCCTTTCTGTAGCTCATAAGGAACTTGCGAGCTCACTTGAAATGAACAGGAGATATTTAAAAACTGGCTGTCATTCTCAGGATTCTCTAAAGATGTGAATTTCACCTTTGTTTCAGGAATATTCTCTTTAATCTAATTTAAACAGAAATGTTTGATTAAAATCAAGACAAGAAATAACTTAAGCCCTTCTTATGATAATGTGATTTGATCATCCAATAACTTATTCTCCACTGATTTCAGAATCCCTCCGAACACCGAGTATGGTCTTATTTAATATCTTTAGTAATTACTTCTTCCTAGGTAAGTACTTAGTAATGTAATCAGATGCTGATCCTTTAATATTATTTCCCAGATAAACTGTAAATATATAATCTCTCACTTATTCTTTTTTTTTTTAAGATTATTTATTTATTTGACAGAGAGAGACACAGCGAGAGAGGGAACACAAGCAGGAGGAGTGGGAGAGGGAGAAGCAGGCTTCCCGCGGAGCAGGGAGCCCAATGCGGGGCTCGATCCCAGGACCCTGGGATCATGACCTGAGCTGAAGGCAGACGCTTAATGACTGAGCCACCCAGGTGCCCCCTCTCTCACTTTTTCTAATCAATGTTTAAACTAGCCAATATTGTATGGTGTTCGATTCTAAAGCCTATATCACTCCTACAGATACGTACCTTTTAAACAACTGTACCAAAAATAGGCTATCTTACAAGGGAATCATTAGACAGTACATTCACTCTCACTACAAAGCAGTATAAATTAGTTGAGTATATACGATGTTTATTCTGATAGCAAACCCAGATAATTTTATCCAAAAAGAAAAACTCCTGAATCATATCATTTAACATTTATCAAGTTTAAATTCCCCCTTCCCAACACCTGCCCATCAACTTTTTAACCATTATCAAACTTAGGTTTATAAAAATGTAAGGGACACTATCAACAAAATTCATAATCTGAAGGATAAAGTTACTGGCTATACTTATCTGTTTAAAATCATTGGGATTAACAGGCATATACAACTGTACATAAATGCACAGATGAAAATGTTGTTTGCATTTCTATTTCCCATAATTATTTTACATGCTGAAAGAAAATGTTTGTGTTATCACAAAGGGGTTAGAAATATTCAATGAGTTATCTGACCTAATCTCACATTTGTTCTATATCTTCACACATAACCTCCACAGAATTTCTGATTACCATAAGTCCAATTTCAAAACAATTGGCAGTGTCTGAGAAAAGGCAGAGTGTTTCCCAATAATGTGGAAATACCCAACATAATGCTGAAAAGTCGAGAGCTTTTAGATGAGAGTGCCTAATTCTGGTCTTGGGCACACTTGGACAGGAGCAACTCACCTATGCTCTCTAGACCACAGTTTCAGTTCTCTGTAAATTGGATCAGCTGAGCTGATCCCAAGGTTCCCAAGGACCTTTGAGTTGTAGGACTAAGTGATTCCTCTCCAGTCTGAGAAGTAACCAGAACCGTAACAGAGTGTTCGCTAAGTCCCATCAACATGGGGAACTCCACTTCCTGATATTCAATATCCTACCCCCCATTTCAGAAACAAAAAGTGACAATGTTTTAAGCACTTAAATTGTTTAAAGACAGAGGTTTTTTTTTAACAATATGAGTTGTAATGAAGAAGAAAGGGGTGAAAGTAATATCTAACTCAAATACAGGAAAATTTAGGAGAGAACTTAAATGGCGTAGATATATATCCAATTGTTTTAAACTGTGAAATTCATTTAAATTACTTGGATGAGAAGAGAAATAAAGGAACTTAGTGAGAAGACCAAGAATTTGATCCAAAAGTGACTGATAACGACCATCATTTCTTTTTGTTTTTACATCAACATACACACATAAAAAATAAAAATATAGGGGTGCCTGGGTGGCTCAGTCGTTAAGTGTCTGCCTTGGGCTCAGGTCACGATCCCAGGGTCCTGGGATCAGGACCAGGACCCTGGGATTGAGCCCCGCATTGGGCTCCCTGCTCTGCGGAAGCCTGCTTTTCCCTCTCCCACTCCCCTTGCTTGTGTTCCTTCTCTCGCTTTGTCTCTCTCTGTCAAATAAATAAATAAAATATTTAAAATAAATAAATAAGTATACATAAATTTAAAAACTGTATTATCAGAAATGTACAGCCAGATGAAATTTTACTAAGTGATCACACACACGTGACCAGAATCCTGATCAATAAACAGAACATGACCAACATCCCAGATGCCTCCTTGAGCTCCCTTCCAGTTTCTATCTGCCTCCAAGGGTAACCAGGATGCTAACTTCTAACACCCCACTTTTGTGCTTTATTTAAATGCAAGCATATGGTGTGCCCTCTTTTATCTTTTTTGGCTCAACATTGTATCTATGAAATTCATCCATGTGGCTGCATATAGTTGTAGTCTGTTCATTCTCATTGCTGTGTAGTATTCCATTGTGTGAATACACCCCAAATTAATAATTCATTCTACTACGGAGGGACAGTTAAGTTGTTGGGGCTATTACAAACAGTGGTGCCATCGATGACAACAATGTTTTAAAAGTGAATTTTGTATAACCATATTGATTTTTCTGAAAAATGGTGTCAGTTAAAAATGTGATATATAAAATAATTAAGGAAGTACCTGGGAGTTTATGGTGGCCTCTTGTAACTCAGCTTCAAGCCTTTGGATCTCCTCCTTTAACTGAATATTTTCCTTTGCAATTTCATCAATTAATCTCTAAAAAAAATCAAACAACACCAAAAAATTCCCCCAGCCTCTGACCTCATTTTTCTAAACGAATTGAAGAAGCTAAATTTCTATCACCCTGATAAAGGCAAAGAAAGATATCATCACCTGTTGATTGTCCTACCTCTGAGACGTTTTATTATCTCCTTTATACAAGCAGGGAAACTACCTTTCACACTAAAGCAGAGTCACAGAAATTTTTGTAGTAGAGCAAGGACTGAGAGCCAGACCTCAATCTTATCAACTCCTTTCCTGGTTATTTGTGACAACAATATGACTTTTACGTTGCACTGTAGGGGAGCCTGGGTGGCAGTTGCTGGAGCATCTGACTCTTGGTTTCAGCTCAGGTCATGGTCTCAAGGTCATGAGATTGAGCTCTGTGTCGGACTCTGCGCTCAGTGTGGAGTCAGCTTGGGACTCTCTCTCTTTCTCTCTCTCCCTCTGCCCCTACCACCCCCACCCAGCTCATGCTTGCGTGTGCTCTCTCTCTCTCTAAAATAAATAAATATATCTTTAAAAAATAAATAAATAAATTGCACGTAATTGTGGAATATGTTACTTGGGGGCAATCAAAAAATGTTTTTGCTGTGATTCCCACAGTACAGCTGCCTTGACATGCCAGGCATATGGCCCTGGGTAAGTGGCTTAAGCTACCTGAGCCTCCATCCCCTCTTGGGTCTGATCAGATAATTGCTAACTAAGTTTTTAATTTCTGGGTGTAAATCAAAGAAAGGACGGAGGGAAGGAAAAAACAGCTAATGTTGAAGCCTTGTAAAAGAAAGAATAGAAATATGATTCTTTTTGTAAGGCTTGAATAATGGAAGAAAAAATTTTTGAAAACCTTAAAATCTTCCCAAATTCAAAGTAATGTTGGGCAAAAACATATAAAACATGCCTCACTGTAAAACTAATAGATATAAATTAATTTTTAATAGGACCCAGTAATTTTTACCTCTCTTTGTTCATTTTTCATAAATCCTTCATCTGACCAAGGCTCCTTAAGAACTTTTTTGTTATCTTCATCAGCTGCCATGATTACCTAATTATTACAAAAAAATAAGTATTTTTAAAAATAGTACATATACACAAATTCAAGAAAAAAGAAAAAACTTTTACCCTTTTACAGAAAAAGAAACATCTCTTCTTTGCTGTATCTTTTTTCCTATCATCAAAGTCTTTATTATCATGTGGCTTATATTTGAACAGAGTCTGTATTTCAAATAACTTTCACACCTACAAATATATAAAAGGGTTCTAAAGATCGTTTGCTTTTCAACACAGTAATAGAAAATGATAGGTATTAACATTCCTTTGAGGTTCACATCTGAATCATATTATGGTGCCCCATTTTAAAAGATTACTATTTTGGACTTCTCAAAGGTTTTGATTTAAACATCCAATTCTCCCTATTTATTTCCCAAATGTAAATGGAGTAAAAAGTCCTCCCCAAACTCCTCTACACGTAGAGTAGTTCTTTTTAAATTTTTTTAAGTAGGCTCCACACCCAGCATGGAGCCCAATGCGGGGCTCAAACCCACGAACCTGAGCTCAAGACCCAGGCCGAAATCAAGTCAGATGCTTAACCAACTGAGCCACCCAGGAAGTCCCTACATGTACCCAGTTCTTATCTGGAGTTTTCACAAATCCTCCCTAGTCCATACACCTGAATAGGAAAAAAATTACACCTTTACTTCTCATAATCTCTGATTGAAACTTAGCATTCTCTTCACATATAAATATAGGCAACAAGCCACATAGCGTTTGCAAAAGTTCCCAATATGGCACAAATATTTTCATAAAATGTTTTAACTATTGCAGATATCCTGAAATTTTTTTTGTGTAAAACCTTCCTTCAAAATTATGGTAGTTACTGGGGTGCCTGGGTGGCTCAGTTGTTAAGCGTCTGCCTTTAGCTCAGGTCATGATCCCAGGGTCCTGGGATCGAGCCCCATGTTGTCAGGCTCTCTGCTCAGCAGGAAGCCTGCTTCTCCCTCTCCCATTCACCCTGCTTGTGTTTCCTCTCTCGCAGTGTCTCTCTCTGTCAAATAAATAAATAAAATCTTTAAAAAAAATTATGGTCGTTATTAAACTCACTACTAGGTCTTATACTGTAACATATTGATATATATTACTGTATCAAAAATTTGCTTTTTTATATTTTGATAATCATATTTCAATATAATTGGTTTCCTTTGTAATTCTACATATTTTATTTTATACATTTAAAAACTTTTCTTTTAAAGGCCCATGAGCTTTATCAGACTGGGAAGGAATCCATGGCACAAAAACAGTAAAGGACATTTGCCTGCGTATGAATTTACTGAGATGGAGAGGTCCCAGATCAAAAATGAGACAAGGAATATCATAACTGTTTTTATTGCTTTAGAAGCACATTAATAACCAGTTTGTGATATAATCCTCTAAAATTTCAAGTAGCTAAATTCTCACTATTCCGGTAGAAGAAACAGGAAAAAAGTTATTTCTCCTTAAAAAAAATAGAAGACTGGCAAAAAATTAGTGTGAACACAAGCAGTGTCCAGAAACAGAGGGGATCATATAGCATCTAGATCTTGGTTTCTAATCTATTGTCCAATAAAAGGAACCAGGATTCCCTGGAGCAATGGCTGATTCTACCCATGGGCCAGGAAATATACAAGATAAGCCTGGAGATGCAGGGAGTCTGCTTCTCCCTCTGACCCTCCTCCCTCTCATGCTCTCTGTCTCTCATTCTCTCTCTCGCAAATAAATAAAAAATCTTAAAAAAAAAAAAAGATAAGCCTGGAGAGCTTCCAGTGGCCAAAGGTACATGAAGGGGATTTTCAAGTAAGTAAATATACAGAGGATAAAAGAAACCAGGTTGTTCATTGCCAGGTAAGTTAATTATAAATATAGAAAGACAGAAAACTAGAATGAATGCTGTGGGTTGGAACTGGAACTATCAGTATAATCTCATGATTTCCAACAGAATGAGAGAAAGATACAGAGGTATAAATATAGATGTGTGTGTGTGCTCACATATATACATACCTATATCTATCTGTATATATATTCCCTAGCTCTGTCTTCTCAGAGGGCCTAGAAGCAATGAGCACACCTAGCACCCAGAATTTGGTTTCTAATACCGTTTTCCCTTACAAGGAACCAAGGCTTTTCAGAGAAATGGTTGATTCCAGGACTGGGACAAGAAAAATACAAAATAAGCACCTTATAGTGCCAGAAAGCAAGAAAATGCTCAGTAAATGATGAGAGCATGTTAAACAAAACAAAACAAAACAAAACACAGAATCCAGCCTGAGGAGGTTCTCACTAGCCAAGTCTAAGAATAAATTAAGCATAAAAAAAATGATGGTAATGATTAAATCCACTGAGGAAAATAAAAAACTATGAGTCCATACTGACATACATACATACATACACAAATTGAAATTTTGGTGAGAAAAGGACCATGTAGTTAGTTTCAAAATACTTCCCCACAAAATACTAATTTCAAAGGGGGAAAAGTAGCTTTACATTGAAGAAGCCAGGCAGACGCCACCATAATAAAATAATCAAAGTAAATAATGAGATAAGTCAAAATCATCTGCCATCTGATAGAGTGCACTTAGAACACAGCACGACTTCTATGATATTCCTGCCAAAGATACATAATCTGAATCTCAGCATGAGGAAACATTAGACAAACTGGCCTGTACTCTTCAAAAGTGTTAAGTTCACGAAAGCCAAGGAAAGGCTGAGAAACTCTTCCAGACAGGAGACTAAAGGGACATCGCAATTAAATGCAATGCATGACTCGGAATTGGGTCATTTTGCTATATAGGATATCACTGGCACAACTGTCAAAATGTGAATTGGATCCAAGGATTGGATGGCAGTAATGTATCAATATAATTTCCTGATTTTGATTACTGAATTTTAGTTATGTAGAGAATACCTTTTTTCTAGGAAATATATATTCAAGAATTCCAGGGTAATGGGTTTTGAAGTTAGAATCTTATTCTCAAATAATTCAGGAAAAACAGAAGCTGTTTTTATTGTACTTGCAACTTTTCTGTAAGTTTGAGATGGTTTCAAAATACATCAGTAGCTCCCTATTGCACCACCTGCAGAGTCCTTACAACGACACCCAATAGTCATCCAAGGTCTTACACAATCTAACCAAAACTTACTTTCTAGTCTTATTTAGACAACTTCTAGACTAAGTACCCTAACCACACTAAACACTCAAAGGGTCCCTCTTCTCCCTCCTGTCCCTTAATATGTCACATCCTTCCTCTCCTCCCAACCTTAATGAAATTCTACAGTTATTCAAGGTCTACCCCAAGTTTCCCCCAAGTTTTTAACGCTTTTTCTGATTCCCCTACAGGACATTACTTCTCCCTCTTTTAGCTCTTTTGGAGAGCTTTAATTATTTGTGTACCCATGTCATCTTCCATGACTAGATGGTCATGACGTTGAGGCGAAGGACCATGCCCACTCCTCCTTGCATCCATTCAGAGCATAATATAAGCACACACACTGAAAACACCCAATATTTACAGAATTGCATGGTATCTTGACTAGTACTTGTTCTGTTCAGGACATCCCATGCATATGAAGTTTTGTTATTACATTTCCAGAAAGCAGAAATGGCAACATTTTTTTATTGCTTTAAAAAAAAAAAATCAATATTCTTGGGCACCTGGGTGGCTCAGATAGTTAAGCATCTGCCTTCGGCTCAGTTCATGATCCCAGGGTCCTGGGATCGAGTCCCACATCGGGCTCCCTGCTCCTTGGGAGCCTGCTTCTCCCTCTGCCTCTCTCTCTCTGTCTCTCATGAATAAATAAATAAACTCTTTAAAAAAAAAATCAATATTCTTAAAAGCTTGTAATGAAGACTCTCAATATATTTATCTCATATAAATGGTCTACTACATAATACTCCCAGAACTTTTTTTTTGGTATATTTAGGGTCTGGATACTTTCCTTCTTCGCATGAGTGGGATGTACAGTAATAGGCTATCTTTTATGCCATTATATGGTAGGCAAAATAATGACCCTCTCAAACATACCCACTCTTAATCCCCAGAATCTATGAATATGTCAGATTACAATTAAGGTTGTAGATTGAATTAAGATTGAATTAAAGCTGACTTTAATATGAAAATCATCCTGAATTATCCATAAGGCCAATACAATCATAAGGGCCCTTAAAAGTAAAAGAGGAAAGCAGAAGAGCAGAGTCAGAGGGAGGTGTGACAACAGAATAAAGGTCAGAGAGATGCAGTGTTGCTGCCTTTTTAGATGGAGAAAGGGCAGCACTAAGCAGAGGAAGGTGGGCAACACACAGAAGCTGGGGAAAAAACAAACAAACAAACAAACAAACAGAAAATAGATTCAGCCCAGTAGCCTCCAGAAAGGAAGGCAACCCTGTAGACAAGTTGATTTTAGGCCAGTGGGATCCAGGTTGGACTTCTAACCTACAGACTGTTAAGATAATAAATTTGTGGTTTGTTGTTGTTGTTGTCGTTGTTGTTTTTAAGATTTTATTTATTTATCAGAGACAGAGCACAAGCAGGGGGAGCGGCAGGCAGAGGGAGAAGCAGGCTCCCTGCTGAGCAAGGAGCCGAGTATGGGACTTGCTCCCAGGACCCCAGCATCACAACCCCAGCCAAAGGCAGATGCCCAACCGACTGAGCCACCCAGCCTGCCCTAACTTTGTGGTTTTAAACCACTAAGTCGGTGGTCATTGTTATTACCACCACCCACCTGTCACCTATTTTCCTATTATACTCATATCCCTTCGTGCCAGGTCTGACGGAATGAAATCTTTCCATGTGCATGCCTGGCCCAAAAAGGAAACGAGGGGCTGAAAGAAAGGAGGGGGTGATTAGTACAATGGTGATACACAGGGGCGCCTGGGTGGCTCAGTCGTTGAGCATCTGCCTTCGGCTCAGGTCATGATCTCGGGGTCCTGGGATCGAGTCCCGCATTGGGCTCCCTGCTCCACGGGAAGCCTGCTTCTCCCTCTCCCCCTCCCCCTGCTTGTGATCCCTCTCTCGCTGTGCCTCTCTCTGTCAAATAAATAAAATCTTTAAAAAAAAAATTAAACAAAAACAATGGTGATACACATATATAGTTAAAAAAAAAAAAAAGTATCCATGTTCTACAGACAGAAAAACACCGTGTTCTCCTTTAGATGTCTCTTTTGAGAAAATCCCTGCATATTCCGAAAAGCGAAGCACAGCTGCCAAACCCTGGACCTGCCGAGGAGAGTAAACCTCCTGAAGGAATCAAGTTTCCCTAAGAACTATCCCGGGAGACAATACGGAAACAGTGGGGAAACGCAAGCCGTTTTCCATTTCAATTTCCGAAATTAAGCAAACCACTCTCAGAAGACACGGGCGGCGGCGGCGGCTGGGGGCTGGGGGAGGAGGGCCGGAGGGCCGGAGGGCCGGAGGGCCGGGGGCGGGGGGCGACTGACGCAGCCCGCCTCTCCCCCGCCTCCACCCCCACCCCGGCGGCCGCGTCCCTTCGCGACCCGCTGGCGTCCCGCGGGGCGCTGCCCGCCTCGCGGTGGGCGGCCCCGCGGAGCGCGCCTCGCTCCCCAGCCGGGCTCCTCCAGGAGCGGGGACGGCAGCCGGGGCACCCGGCGGGGCGTCCACTCACCCGCCTCGCCGGTGGAAGGCAGCGCGGCGAGCCCAGCGCGCCCGCCCTTCCGGGAAAGCGGGTTGGGCGGCGCGCCGCGCGAGCGCCCGCCGGAGTGGCCAGGAGCCCCGCGGGCTGGGCGGGCCGCCGGTCCGAGGCCGGCGCGGCCCGATTCCCGAGGGCCCGCCACCCCGATTGACGCCTGGGTTCCTAAAACAAAAGAAGAAGAAAGAGGGGAAAAGGGGGGGAAGGGAAGGAAAAGACCGCTCTGCTCAAATGGGGATTTTCCTTAAAACTAACCACTGTTTGGAATACCAAATATGGTGTTTCCAATGAATAATTACTAACGAGTTACAAGTATTTTCGGTTTCGATTTTTAAAACACGGTTCTTTTGATGTAGAAGATAAACTGTTGCAACATAAGGAATAACATGGAGGACATTAAGAGAGGGAAGGGGGAAATGGGCGGGGGGAATTGGAGGGAGAGATGAACCAAGAGAGACTATGGACCTGAGAAACAAACAGGGTTTTGGGGGGGGGGGGATGGGTTGGCCCTGTGGTGGGTATTAAGGAGGGCACGTACTGCATGGAGCACTGGGTGTTATACGAAAACAGCGGATCGTGGATCACCACATCAAAAACTAATGATGTATTGTATGGTGACTAACATAATAAAATAAAAAAAAATAAAAAATAAAGTGCCAATTTCTTCTTGAAAAAAAAAAAAGAAGATAAACTGTTGGGTAACAAAGCCGGGAGGGGTTTGGGCGAAATAGGTGAAGGAGATTAAACAGGTACAAACTTCCAGTTATAAATTAGTAACAGAGATAAAATGTACAGCATAGGGAATATAGTAAATATTGTAATAACTCTGTATGGTGACAGGTGGTAACTAGGCTTATCATGGGGGTCATTTCCCGGTATAAAAATATCAAATCACTATGACTACACCTGAAACTAATAGGATATAGTAAGTCAACTGTACTTAAATTAAAAAATAAAAGTGGTTTTTTGTTTTGAGAGAGTCTGTCCAAAAAGTATTCCTGAAGTTTGCATAAGCACTAATTTCAGGACATGTTTTTTTAAAAACCACTCTTTTTATGTGTATGTTACTGGACATATTGTTGAAAAAATGGATAGAAACCAAATAAGGGGGCGCCTGGGTGGCTCAGTCGTTAAGCGTTTGCCTTCCGCTCAGGTCAGGATCCCAGGGTCCTGGGATCAGGATCCTGGGATGGAGCCCTGCATCGGGCCCTGCTCTGCGGGAGGCCTGCTTCTCCCTCTCCCACTCCCCCTGCTTGTGTTCCCTCTCTCGCTGTGTCTCTGTCAAATAAATAAATAAAAATCTTAAAAAAAAAAAAAAAAGAAACCAGATAAGGTCAAAGTGGAAGTCTCTCTTCAAGATAGTAACTCTCACTGTAATTTATTGGTCATTATAACCCCAATCTACAAATATTTACAGCCAGTACAAGGTCGGTTTTTGTCTTTTGCAACATCTTCTAGGCTATGAAGTTGGGAAAGCTGTGGTGTTCACTTGGTTTCTATGACCCATGTCCCTTGAAAGTTTTCTTATAATCTTGTGAAGTTGTAAATAAATACTTCACTACGTGTCATCTTTTCCTCTGAAAATAAAAACATCTGGCTTATTTCAAGAACTGCAGTGTTTCTTAATCCTACACGAAGAACCACCTCACAGCTGCACTTGCTCATAAATACAGGTCAAGGAGGAGATGTACCAAAATGATTTCCAGGCATACATTCTAGGATATAGTGCTATGAGTTATATATAATAATCGATACAGATACACTGGTCTAAAATAACAGGTTAACAAAAGTCAAATTCATTTATATCTAGAATACTGATGGGAGGGGTGCCCGTGTGGCTCAGTCGTTAAGCATCTGCCTTCAGGTCAGGTCATGATCCCAGGGTCCTGGAATTGAGCCCCGCATCAGGCTCCCTGCTCAGTGGGGAGCCTGCTTCTCCCTCACCCTCTGTGCTCTCTCACTCTCTCTTTCTCTCTCTCTCTCAAATAAATAAATAAAATCTTAAAAAAAAACCCAACAATACTGATGGGAATAAAGTTTCTTTTCTAAGTGAAAAAAATAAAGTAGTGCATGACAAGGACTTTTGTTCTCAGCAGCCCAGTTAGAAAGTACAGTAACTCCATCTGTTGCAGCTTGAGAATTACTTCTGTTCCATCTTAGAATTTTAGAAAGCATGAACTCTAGAGGTTATCTAGTTCAACCTTACTTCTTCTTTATCTTATTTTTTTCATAAGATGATGATAAGTAGTAGGACCATAACCAGAAGAGGACTGATCTAATATTGACTCAGATCCTGTTAAAGAGCAAAAGATACAGGTAGTAGGGAAGCCTTTTTTGGCCACCTACATGCTAAAGCTGGGTCATGTGTAACAGTCTTCAGATCCAGTACTCTGCAAAGTGATGAGGGTTCTAACAATGAGCAGTCAGCTGTTGGACATATTATTATTAACAATGGTAATTGTTCATCTACAGAGGACTCCTGGACATTTTATAACCTTTTTGTATTGTGTCAACAATATGAAATACAGGAATTACCTGCATGTGCAGATGAGGACACTAAGGCTTAAAGAGGTGATGAAAGTCAAGCAATTAATATATGATGACACTGATACCATATTTCACTCTCAACCATGAAATCAAGTATCTCCATGCTGTGTTCTATAGTGCCCAGAGAAGAAAGAATTCCATGGCCAAATATGATTGGGAAATGTTGCATACTGGATTCACTTTTGGAGATTCATAATGCGCATCAGCACATTAAGAATTCTGAAAGGTACTGCAGGGAAAAAATTAAAGCACACGTTAAAAAGTTTAATTTTATTCAACCTTGAATTTATTCGAGGTCAATAATTTGACCACTAAATTCTTTTTCTCACAAAGCAGCTATTAATACCTCAAAGAGTTTCTAATAGGGCAATTTGAGTGATGCTCCACTAATGACGGGGTTCAGGACATGCTACTTCAAAATATGGCATATTGAATATTTTAAACTGAAGGAGTTTGAGAAAACAGTAGAAGCAAGATCATTCTGACCTTCTCCCCTACCACCACCCTTCTCCTCTGAAACAGGTCATGAAACTCTACCAGGAGAGTTGCCTTCCCTATACCTAGAGAAAGGGAACATTCTTATCTCTGAAGACAAAGGGACACTGAGAAGAATCCTAAGAAGCAGGACTTGCTAAGTTTCCCTCGGTTCACTATGATTGCCTCATACTCTCTGATCTTAACATAATTCTACATGACTGTTCAGTCTTCATTAAAACTAGCATACAAATACCCAGGCCTAACTGTTTCCTTGGGTCTTCATTTCCTTATGGAGGTTCCCATGTCATGTAAAACTCGTATTAAACACAGATTTGTATGCTTTTCTCCTGCTAATCTCTTTGTCAGTTTAATTTTCAGACCCAGCTAGGGACCCTAAGGACATACAGGAAAACTTTTTCCTTCCCTACACTAAATTATACCATCTCCTAATATAAAAACTATTGAATGTCTATAACACACTCAATGAATATTATGTCACACATGAGATGCCTTAGACATCTCATGTAAATCTGCACTGCCATGATATGTTTATTACGTTACGTATTTATCTCCCCCACCAGATGGCAAGGAACTCCTCCCAGACCTTTCTATAAATTCACACAAGCACAAGCACATGCGCGTGCACACACACACACACACACACACACACCACTTATGTAGTAGTGTGTTTATGAAGAGGTGACAGATAGGAACTAGCAAAACACAAAGGAGCGAATGGTCCCCTCTATCCCAGGAGGTCAGTTTCCTCTATAGAAGAGATAGAGGGGGCGCCTGGGTGGCTCAGTCGTTAAGCGTCTGCCTTCGGCTCAGGTCATGATCCCAGGGTTCTGGGATCGAGCCCCGCATGGGGCTCTCTGCTCTGCGGGAAGCCTGCTTCTCCCTCTCCCACTCCCCCGTTTGTGTTCCCTCTCTCGCTGTCTCTCTCTGTCAAATAAATAAATAAAATCTTTAAAAAAAAAAAAAAAAGAAGAGATAGAGTGTGAGTTGACTCTTAAAGTTATAGGAAGCCAACTGCAACCAAGGGTGAGGTGAAAACCCCAGGGGCATGAAACAATTTAGGGAGGCACCAAGACTTTTGTGGCTTTGCAAATGAGGAAACTACCTGAAATCCATTATATTATGTCCTTCCTATTAGAAAAGGTCTTGTACCTCAAGCTTATATTGCTGTTGCCAAGATTCTGATGACCTGGTTTGCAGTTCCTGCTTGGGGAAGTTAGAATACTTACAATGCTCCCAGCATTGTGCCAGATCCTGAGGGATTCAAGAGGTTTGCAACTGAAATATATAAAAGTAAAGGAATGTTGCTAAGGAGGAGGATCTTAAATGTTCTCACCACCAAAAAAGAAATGGTCATTATGAGATGTGATGAAGGTGTTAAGGAAAACACTGTGGTAGTAATCATTTTGCAATATATAAATATATCAAATCAACAAGATGTACACCTAAAATTTACACAGTGTTATATGCCAATTTTATCTCACTAAAGCTGGAAAAAATAAAATAGTAAGCAGCTGATTTTTTAAAAAAGTAAAGCAAAATAAGTATCCCATCCCTTACTCTCTATCAAGCAAGCAACACTACGCAGCCAGAGCATGATTTTGATATCAGATGGGGGTTTCAGTACCAATTTCAAGTTACTGAAGTTCCCTGCCCTTGGTTTCCTCAGCTGTAAAATGGAGCTGTTGTGAATGAGATATATGGTATACGTCAAGGGCTAAGCACAGTGCCTTACCCACGGTAAGCTCAGTAAATAGTGGCTGTTACCATTTTATACACTGGAGAGATTTTCTTTTCCATTTTTTTCTTACACATTTCTTCTCCTTTGTCTTCCCACCTACAGAACTACTTTTAAGACAAAGATTTTTTTTTTTTTTTGCGCCACCTACAGTTACTAGTCCAATAACTATACCTAGTACATGCTATACAGCTACTTATTTCTAACTAGTGGCAGGATGCAAGAGGAGAAGTCAAATACTCTGGACCCAATGTTATAACCCCTTTGTCTGAGTTTTCATATTAGTTTGTATGAGTAAGTTCGTATAAGTGAATAAAATATTGTGAGACAGATCAAACATTTAAAAAAAAAAGTTAAGGGGAGCCTGGGTGGCTCAGTCAATTAAACGTCTGTCTGCCTTCA